TCTTTCATCTAGGTAAAGTGAGCATATAAGCAACAGCAGGATTGGTACATTGAAACCACTATCACAAAGACATGCAGACCTGTATGAATAGTCCGAGTGTGCCAGCAAATCATTGTAGCCTAAATGCACTGACAATTTGTTGCAGTTGGCACTGGTTGCCCATAAGCTTCTGGTCCGAATTCAAAACGATGGTGAAACCAGACTACCTCCAGTTCTGGGGTAGACACTGTGGAGCAGGGGGGATCAGAGGGGAAGGTTTGATGTTAGGTCAAATGAGTGGATCAGCATGAACCTCCTTGAGGGTGCACCCAGCTCTGTTTTGTGGCGAAGGGAGAGGGGATTCAGTTCAGTGTGGGTAAGAACTGACTCTTACTCCTGTGTGGGTAAGAACTGACTCTTACTCCTGTGTGGGTAAGAACTGACTCTCAGTTACAAGGTCTTGATGAAAGCATCTTACAAACAGCCTATATATTATTCACTTTGTTCTGCAAAGCCAGTTCTGATTGGCCAGCTTTAAAATAAAATTGCAGATAGAAGTCCCTTGTTGTGATCTGCTGGCAAAAGAAAGAAGAGAATAGTTGTGGGGAGGGAGATTCTGGCTCATGATAGGCTTGCCTTTTATATGCTTGCTAATTTTATCTTTAATAACCAATTTGCCCAGAACAGATGTTGAGCTAGCCAGTCCGTAATTTCCTGGTTCCCTGTGGATCCTTTTTAAAAATTGTGTTATATTGGCAATTCTCTAATCCTCCAGTACAGAGGCTGATCTAAGAAACATAGATATTTTAGTTGGAAGATCAGCAGTTTGAACTCTAGGAACTCCAGCATGGGCACCATCTGGACCTGGTGGTTTGTTAACTTCAATTTGACAGTAAGGTTGAGAACTTGATCATCTGTCAGTACTATTTGTTTCAGTTCCTTAAGACTTCTTTCCTGAAAACATCAGTTCAGGCACAGGTAACCATTTTCTATCTTCTGCAGTGAAGGCAGATATGAGAATTCATGCAGATTCTCTGAAGCTCCTTGTTCTCCTTTAACTCCATTGTCACCTAATGGCCCAACTGTGTCTTTAGCTGTTTACCTGCTTCTGAGCTATAATAAATAATTATATAATCAGACATATAATAAATAATATTTATTGTTGTCTTTGATGTGTGGTTAGTGATATATCCCTCAAAATTCTTTTTTGCATCTCTTACTGCCTCTTTATGCACCTCCCCTGTGCAAGCTTGTACTCCCTTTTGCCTTCCCTACCTGGGCAAGAGTTCAGTTGTCTGAAGGAAGCCTTCCTTCTGTCTTCCTTGATCCTACTCATTCCATAGGTGACCTCTTGGGCTTGGTGCCGTTTTCTGACCTGTGGTGTACTTTTTAGCTGAACATCTGTTATTATGGTTTTGAGTAACCTGGCTGGTTTTAGCCATTTTGACTCCTCTCAATTTTTCTTTACCAGTTTCCTCATTTTAGAGAAGTTCTTTCTTTTGAAGTAAACGATGACTATGCTGGACTTCCTTGGCAATGTAGCTATAAAATCTAATAGCTTTATGGTCACTGTCTCCGATTGGTTCAACAATATTTACATCTCAAATCCAGAGTCAACTCCTCTGAGTTTCCTTGACCACCTCTTATAGGGCAGAGTCATTTAGGGCACTGAGAAATGTTGGCATGACCGGAACAGGTCAATTTAAGTCTGTGACTGACTGTTTCTAAGATGTGTCTTGACACAGACATGTCTTGTATCTGTGTATGTCCTTGTTTACAAGCTGCTGTGAAGCCCTGAAAAGCGGCTTAAAAATACCTTAAATGAATACATATTCCACTGGTGAGTATACTGAAGTTATTTATTCTGGGAGTAACAACCCCAAGGTTGCCAATTCTGTAACTCAATTTGAAACTGAGCTGTCGGGGGGAGGGGGGCAGAAAGCCTCCAAGCACAGTTAGCATTGGAGGAGTTGCAGTGGAATAAAAGATCTAGAGAACTAGTGCTTGACATTTTCCATTTGAGCCCCTCATTGTTAACTATATTTCGTGTTTGTTTGTTTATTTTAATAAAAATGCTTCTTTCCTCACACACAAACTTACAGTCCTGATCCAATGAAATAAGCACATGTTGTGACTGACTCTAGTGGGAACAAGATTACTTCCCTGCTTGTATGTAATGGGTTAAAAGTCTTGCCAGCCTTAGCTCCCTAGACCATGAATGCTTAGTAGGGGTATAAGGAGACCATTTCTGGATATTCAAAAATAAATGGTAGGCTTTTATTCTTGTGTTTTCAATTTCTTTCTCTCTCTCCCAGGCCTTTGACATTTTGAATGCTCTAATTTGTATTATTGCAATGAAAATCCTTCCCCTTTACTTATTTTCATCATGGCATTTGAGGCGCATCTTTGGTGTTGCCTCAAGCAGAAGAACAGTTGGCAGAAACCTGCCACTGCTGCTTTCTTTTGCTAAGCTTGAGCAGCTTTTGCAGGGTGAAATACAGTCTTGCGAGACTGCTTGGGAAACTGAAGCATCTGATCCTGAACAAGAGTTAAGCTAGGCAAACAAATGTGTGCTTGGCAAAGATGCATTGATTATAAGGGGGCTCAGCAGAGCACGTTTTAACATAGACCATAACTTTTTATTTTTCATCTAAGTGCAAATCATATAGCAATTGAGCTGAGGTAACAACCCCACCCCCAGAAAGCTTTAAAACTGACGGGAAAGATTTCAAGCTGAAAATTATAGAGTTCGGTAATGGAACAAGCAGAGGCGGCATGTAAAGAAAAAGTATAATGAAACATTTGATGGAACAATAAAGTCTCATGCTGAGGAAAGGGGAACAGCCTAGAAGGAAACATTTTGGTCTAAAGAGATGTCTCCCCACCTCCGCCCTGCCACCACCACTCACTCATGCTCTCAAAAGGCTGAATAGGTTGGTTTGATTACTGCATTTATTCCCAAAACATTGACCCGGGCCATGGGTAGACCGATGTCAGCTTTGTAGGGTCTATTTCTTTTCCTTAGATCCCTGAGCTCTACCAGCCCAACTCAACATTTTGAACTGAAATCTAATCAAGTCACAAAATGGCGGCTTGGGGGACAAAGTGCACTGGTGGGCCGAACATTTGTTCACAGGTGGGTAGCTAATGCACGTGCCGACACGTGCCCTTGCCACCAGTCAATACCATTCAGGTAATGTATGTGCATACATGCATACACCACACTCTCCACATACACCCTCTTATTACACACAGTGATTCACACATGCTGCCCTTTTAACATGAGAACCTCTTGTACACACACTTTCTCACAGACTTCACACACACATTTTGCCGAGACACACCTGAGATACACACACGTGACTGGGATTGTGGAGCAGAGCCATCATCCAGGATAGCTGCAGTGCAGCACTTGCTGGGCTCTCCTGGTGCCTGCGTTGCCACACATACAAGCTCATCCTCACAAGTGCACATACAGAGAGTGCAAACACTGTTGCTCTTGCACAGATGTAACTATTTCTGTCTTTCACAGTCATACACACACACACACACACACACACACACTCCTGCATGCAAAATGTCTGACCGACACTTTAGGGTGATGGTGGGCTAGGCAGGAACTCATTTCTCTCTCTTCCCTGTCAGTGGCATGGCGGTGAAGGCTGACCCCAGCGGCTTAGGTAAACCAATAGTAGGCCTAGTAGTGGCAGCTGCAGCTGCGGGTAGCCCAGATGAGTGAGCAGGAAAGTTTCTACTTCCTATGAGCAACTGGCTGAGGTCAGAAAAAGGCTGCCAGCATCATGTCCCACCACCTGCTAGAGACTGAATGTTACTCTGTATTATTAGCTCTACACAATAGAATATAGACATGTATTAAGCAGCATTTAGAACACTGGAAAGCCCTTACGGTTGTGGTTGGAGCAAAGCATGAACAATATGGCTGTAGTGCGTTTGAAATTATCTCACCTTCTACTAATCAGTTGCAAATATATGTCTGCCTTTGCGCAATCTACTTAATTCAGCAGCAGCAGCTGCATCATCTCCACCATCCGCATCTTGCATTTAATACAGCACCTCGTGAATACAAAATGTGCTTGTCAGAGTGCAGGGAGTGTAGCAGAAGTAGGTGGGAAAGTACAGGAAGGTTGTAAACAGAAATTGATATCTGGATACCCCCCTCCCTGACTCCCAAATGCTGAAATTCTATGTTTGAGGGAAGAGATTGCATGGTAAAAGCCTTGCCTGAAAGTAATTCATGGCTTAGGTGCACTGGTGACTTCTAATCTCCTAGCTCACAGTCTTTACTACTTTCTCTCGGCTTTCACATTGTAATATAATTCTGCATATCCTATTGAGTGAGATAATACGGATGCATTATAAGAAAGCCAGTGGTCCTGGAATATGATAGCATAATATAGTTAGTAATTACAGTAGGACACCCCCCACCCCATATTTGCTGGCTCATTTACTGCATTTTTACTTAACCACAGTTGATCTTGGCCCAAAAGAGAAGTCATATAGTGCTGTAACATGCCAAAGAGAAGTTATAAAATGCTTCCTTTAAGTGAAAACTCTCAGTTTAATAGGGAAAGGGAAAACATATTATGCTGAGGTTGCTAGAATGTATGTTAAAAGTGAATCTTCTATTTGTGACATTGTGAAAAAAAGAAATTGATATGGACACTATATAGTACATATAATGTTCACTATTACCCACAGTTTCAGGCATCCTCTGGGAAGCTTGGAACCCATCCATGTAGACATGGGGGTGGGGGGGGTCCTCCTGTACTACATATATAACCTTCTGGTCAAGGAGTTGGGAAAGGAATTTTAGCCTTACGACATTCCTGTGAGATACTTTGTTATATGTTTAAATTATAGCTTTCTGCCTGTTTTCTATTTGAACTCTTCCATATTTAGATTAAGATTGCTGCTAATCTTGATTGAACACCTTAACTACCATGCTTCTTTCTATCCTGGCTTTGGCCAGAATTGCTAAAAAAATGTTTTTGTCATTTTAGTAATTGCTGATGGATCACTTGAGAAGACCAGTGATGATGTGGGAAGTGAAGAGGACTTGTATGAAGACTTTCGAGGCTCTAGCCATCATTATGGCCATCCAGGAGGTGGAGGAGAACAACTTGCTATTAATGAGGTACTGCAACTCCGGGGACCTAATGAGCACAAAATAAAGTGTTAGTTATATCTGTTTAAAATCCCCATACAGTAAAGCAATTATGATTATGCAGGATATTGTTGCAAAAGATGCATTTATCTGTTCTCTCTCTGTGCTGGTGGGCAGATTCTTTGGAAATTGGTTTACAAATGTTCAGCTGAATAAGGAATGATGGGGAGCATTGACAACTTCAGACAGGGCAATCAAGACAGAACAACCAATAGTCCAATACTCCCAAGAAACTACTAAGTTAACAGGAAATTGGCTAATTCTTTCGAAGGGGTGTGGGAGGAGCAGGGGGTGTTTTTGCATTCTGAATAAAGGTGAGTTTTGATTGCACCAGATGATTTTATTTTAGTGTTCTACATGATGCATTCATGGGTATTTTAGAGAGTTTAAATGCATTTTAATAAACCATTTTATAATAACTATTGCCATATGTTGTTAAAACTAACCTCTACCATTTTGATTTGAAATCTAATCTATTGAAAACTGTTCTTATGTCCTTGAATGAATCCTTCCAGGAGCTTTATGTTGAATTAATGGATAAGGTGGAACTCTGGGACACCCCAATGGATGTAGGTGGAACAGAAGTTTCTCAGTGCAACCTTTTGAGTAGAAAGCTTCAGAACAACTCTAACATGTTCTCCCCCCTCCCACTCTAATCACAGGATCTTTCCAGATCATCTAGCTAGTGGTATATAAGGCTGTTGAGAAGTAATAGGATTGCACTCACCTGTCTGTTCCTTGGTGTAAGTCATCCACCGGGGGTGGGGGGAAGTTGTTTCTTTCCTAAAACCTGCCTGGAAACCCGAGTGAAACATGTTGGAACAAGAGGCCAGACACAGAAGGTCTGCACAAGCCATCATCTTATCTTAATGCCACATATGGCTTCGTGCTGCACACCAGAATAGTTGAGCAAGATGTTGGAGGAATTGTGCTGCTGGGATCTGCTTCATGCATCTATTATGGCACAAAGGCAAAGAAATAGGTCATCCAGCTTACACCAGTTCTTTTGCACCCAGTGGTGTGCATGGGATACACGTTATTTATCTGGAAGTTAGAGGTGAGAGCCTCTCCATCTAGTCTGTGACACATGCTTTAATATAGGTCTCTTCTCCCAAAGCTAACTCTGAACTCAGCATCCCTAAGTTGGATGGTGAGTTCAGAACTCACCATCTGTGAAAAGCCACCTAGGAACTAGGATTAAATTAGCTTTTTTATTTAATGAAGCAAGGTCCTCAACTGTTGGAAAGATCTATTCATGCAATTTATTCCCTTCCTTCCTTCCTTTTAGTAATGATAATGAGCTGGCATATTTAAGGGAAAAAAAATAACAGTGGGCTATTTAAGATCAGGATTTCGGTATACAGCTGTGCTTCTAAGTCTTCTTAGGTATAACTATACTCATTAGATTGGTGCTAAGAACAACAATTTACATGAACATCAGCTATGAACTATAGCTTAACCTATGTACTCTGTGTATGTACATTTTGTGTTTTCTCCTCAGTTCAGAAAATCAAAAGGAGAAATGAAACCTTTTGTATTTTACGTATGATTTCAAAAAATATTCATCAGCAAATTGTATATTTCTACTTTCCTACATTATGAGTATGCCTCTCAATTTCCTAACCAAATCTGTTACATTTCATCTCTAAATATATTGTTTGGAGGTAATTCCTATTATAGATTGGCTGTCTTGCTTTTATGTTTGTTTTCATTTTATAAATAACTGTATCAATTATTGTTAAGTATTATGGAAAGGGTATATTCCATTTCTCCTGGCCAATCAAGATAGAGAGAATTTCTCTATTTTGAAGTAATTTTAGATGAATTAATTGCGATATAGAGGTTTGGCATGCTGTCAAGCTTAATTTTGTTTTAGGGTTCATCTTAAAGTTGCTCCACAAAAATCTCAGCTTAAAAACACCCTCAGATTCAAATTAAACTTTGAAGGTTTGGGACAGTGTGATTTGAATGGAGTGCTTTTTTATTCAAAGTTTTATGGATCATTCTTCATGCTTTTAAAATCCAGATAAAGGCAAGCGGACTGTTGTAAGCCGCTTTACACGGGGCTGCCCTTGAAGACAGTACAGATACTTCAATTGGTTCAGAACAGAGCAGCCAGGATGCTAGCAGAGAATGGCAGATATTCACACGTAACGCCTGTCCTGTACCATCTGCACTGGCTTCCAGTTGAAGCCCGGGCCCAATTTAAGGTGCTAGTGATGATGTACAAAGCTGTAAACAGCTTAGGACCTGGATATTTGAAGGAGTACCTTCTTCCAGATATACTTGCCTGGGCCCCAAAGGTCTGAAGCAGAGGTCCTTCTTCGGGAGCCCTCTTTGAGGGAGATCAGAAGCGTGGCTACCCAGATAAGGGCCTCCTCTGCGGCGGTGTGCCAGCTGTGCAATGGGCTCCCCAGGGAGGTGTGCCTGCTGCTGACGCTTTTTTCATTTCGGCACTAGCCAAACCCTTTTCATTTTCCCAGCATTTAAAAAGTTAGTGTTGTTTTTAAGGTTGATTTTATATAATATTTGTTATGCCGTGTCTTTCTTATCTATTTATTTATTCCTACCCTGAGACATTGTAAAGGGCAGGATATAAAATTTAAAATAAATAATTAAAATAAACAATAAATGTAGGGAGTGAGCAGGATGGTAGTCGGGTCATAGCTTTTAGTGGTGAAAGCAAAACAAAAGATGCTCGTAACTGTGAACCGTCAACACTTCTTCTGATACTGGACTCAGAAGGTCTGCGCTGACCAAGATGGATGGGAAACAGGAAGCCCTACAACTAGAACTGGGTGTGCCACTGCATACTTGTGGGAACCCTGAGGCATGCAAATACAACGGAACCTTACAAATATTCCTTCCCGTGGTGCAGCTTCCTCTGGGGACATGGACACCCCCCCCCCCGCCCCCGCAGGCATGTTCTCAGCTTGTGGAGAAAGAGTGAGTGGATGCACATGCCATCGAGTGAGGCAGCTAATGGAACCACTGCTGTTTCATTACCTAGCTGCTTCTGCTAACCAGCACACCTTCTGCTTTCTTCTGAGCAGGATGCAGAAGGGGACAGTCAGCAGCAGCAGCAAGGATGCAAATAGCCAGGGGGGAAAGTGAGTGGCTGGGGGTGAAAGGGGCAGTGCAGTTCTGCTTTGCTTTTTTGCAGGGTGAAGTGGGTGATGTTGATGAGCACAAGGGGAGGGTACATTCTCTGTCTCTATAATGTTTAGGCATATGTGCATCACATTCTAACCTTCCGGGCCTCTGTTGCAAAACTGCTGAAACATTATGCATGCCTAAACATGTACAGGAAGTGTAAAATTGAGGTGAAGCTATGAATTCAGTAGCTCTACAACTTTGTTCTTAGCAGACCATCCTATGCATCAGCTTTAGCTGTAGCAGGATGTGCAGTGACTTACATTTCAGGATCCCAAATTCTGTCACATTCCTTGCTAGGCCTGCAGCAAGAAAGCAGAGGCGATGACAAAGTGAACTAGCATTGCCCTTCTGAGAAAGCGCTACTCCGATCAGTATGCCCTACTTTGTCTGACACTGCTTGAATTCCTTGCAGTTATCTTGTTAATTTACAGGAAATCCTCTGCATTTAGCCTCAGCTGTGTTTATGATATTCCATTTCAGCTATGTAATTGCAATGCTTATAAATGCACTGTATGCTCTTGTCACTTTCATTGCTGCCTGTGGATGCCCAATTGCTGGCACAGTATTTAATAGGACATGCTGTAAGGCAGTGTCTGCTCCGCTCAAAGCTCTCTCCAAACCAAGAATATTCATCTGCTCATGTATAAGCATGAGAGGGATACTTCTTCTCCAGTTGTTTTTCAGACACTGATGAGCAGTGATTCTCTCCTGACTGAGAAAAGATGGAGATTAGAAAATAGTTTTCACAGTTAATTAAAATATCTATTTTAAATTAGATTATGTGTGCTTCCTAAAATTTGGGACCACTGCAAATATATTTTCATACCTGATGGATATGCACTTTCTGGTGCTGGAGGGGACAATTCAGATGATACTACTTTTCTTGCTTGGAAAGTAAGTTTTTAAAAGCCAGTCTGATCAATTAATGTGTATATATCTTTGTAATTTCCTAAGGGGAACAACTAAGACTAAAAAAGGGCACGGACATGCAGAAAGGCCTCTGACTGAACACCAGCACTTAGAGAAGGCCTATCATTACAGTAGTTGAAAATAACTCAGCATAGTAACAGGGGGCAGGGTAAATTCTCCAGAAGGCATTCCAGGCCTTTAACTTAGGACGCTGTGTTCTATTTTATCTTTTGTCTTACTGTTAAACTGTCCTGAGACTTCGGTAAGGGATGGTCTAAACAAGTTATAAATAAATAGAATAGAATAGAGTATTAAGCAACCAAGGGGGAATGAGATCTTGAAAAATGCTTTAGATACACTGGCAAGTGTATGCAAGAGAATAAGTCCTGAAAATGGCACCCCGGATCTACCAGTGGACATATCTCGATTTAGGCATCAAAAAGACACCTTGGACCTTCCACTCAGTGTATGCAGAGTAGTAAGTCTTCATGAGAGCACCCTATAGTCAAAAGTATTGCTGTTTACCAAGAATTCATAAGCACACTTTCAGAGACACCTGAAAGAGATCCTATATGCATGGTTGTTACAAGAATTGCTAATCTGTAGATATAGGCACTGTCCAACGAACTGTAAATAAATATACAACCTCAAAGCAGCACTCCCAAGTGGTTGACAGGTATATGCAAGAAAGGAGCAAGGAGTGTCTTAAAGGGGGATAAACATCCTTAAACATATTAGGAGTGAAGAATCTGTGAGTATGTACAGGAGTGAGGTTACAGAATCGTGAGGTTTTATGGTGTACCAAACATTCAGTAAGAATTATTTAGGATCAGTTCCCCACACCTGGTGTCTTCCAGATACGTTGTACTGCAGCAACTTGCCTAATTCCAAGCCAGTTCGAAGAT